AGGGGCTGAAGGAGGCCTCTCTGAGGAGATGATATTTGAGCAGAGATCTGAAGGAAGTGAAGAAATGAAAACGGCACGTAGATAGGTCCTGAGGTGGGTACATGGCTGTCACATGTGAGGAACAACAAGAAGACCAGTGTGGTTGGAGGGCAGTAAAGGAAGGAGAGTAGCAGGTGAAGAAGTAAGCGAGGTAGTAGGGAACCATACCACACGCGCCTTGTGGGCCGCTGGAAGGATGCTGGCTTCCACTAGAGAAAGGTGACTTCGGAGGAGCTAAATGATTCTAGGCCAGGGATGCCTTGAAGGGAAGATTCAAGACAATTGCTGTGTAGGTGAAAGAGAGGAGTCTAGATGATTCCTGGGTTTTGGGCCTGAGAAAATTTCCTTGTTTCTGTAAAAGCCACATTTTGGGAAATCAGACCATCAGATATGAGAGCAGAAGGAGTAGAGATCCGAGAAGGCACTGAGGTTAAGTGATTTGAACAAGTGAACATAATGAGTCAGTGGAGGGGGGGGAGCTGAAATGGGTTCAAGGGGGACCACTGCCAAAGACAGTCTTTAGATCACCGTCCCTGACCGTCCCTGGTCCACGTGTGGCACTTTAGAATGCTTCAGTTTTCCTGAAGGCCTGCGTGGAAACTATCTGCATGAAAAGACAACTAATTGATTAAGTGAATGAAGGACTCCTATGCCTCGAATACTCAGAGCACTATGTACAAGCTAAAATTTTCACGTGATCTGAGCGAGACCATATTGAAAGATGCCTATGGGGCAATGGATAGGAAGTTACTTTATGGCTCAAGTAGAAAGAAGGGAGCAAAAAGGATAGACGAGATCAGCAGTGCTTGCTGTTTTTTTTCAGTGGAGTCTTTTGCTGTTTTTCAAGAGAAAATCACTTGAGAATCCAAAGAAAGGGCCAGCGAGGGAGGAGGAAACTACACTTAAGCAATTAGGCTGCTTATTTTTTTTTAATTAGTGTTGGAAAACCTCAATTATGTGAAACAAAGTATAATAATGAAGGAAAAAGATGAAGCTTGCCTCTTAAAATACCTCTTTTTAATGAACACAATGTAAATTTAAAAAAACGGCTAAGTTTTAAAGTAGGATTTATTGGGGAACACGAAACAGTTTTGAAACCAGGTCAGTTATATGTGAGACAGCCCATTTGTTATTGGTTTCCCTGGTTATACTTAAGGAAAAATAGTTAAGGCCTTTTATTTCCATTTTGACACTTGTTGAAATAAGAGAGGACTCATTGCCGCATGATTGCCCAAGCTATTAAGGAAGATGAATGACAAATTTTAATAGACCCACAAAGGTTGCAAAAGTAATTTTGCTGTCTTCCTCAGAAGTCTTTCCACAACTTTATTCCATGGCCGTGCTGCTCAGCCTCTTGCACATTCTCCTGACCAGGTCAGAATGGGGAAGAATTAAGTCACATCCACATTAGTGTGCTTTCCCGTGATCTTAAGTGCTGATCTGCCCACTCTGCCAAGTGAGAGGCAGAGAGCCAGCTCAGCTGCCCTTGGGGCTCACTTCTGTTTGGGCCTCTGTTTTCCACTTATTGTCCCCCCACCCCACCCCTGCCCCCAGTGTATATATGCCATATGCTGGAACCAAACCAACTGGTGTTCAGTGGCCTTTAGTGGCTTACATTTCTAAAATAGACTTGTAGTCATATGTTCTTATATTTTCTCATTTGAACAGTATTTGAAGTCTGTGGTTTCTTGAATCTAAAGCAATCCAAAGTGTTTCTAACCTGGCTGTAAAAATAATAGAAACTGTTCTGGAAGGTCTGTTTCTCTGAGACTCTAGTCAGAAAATTTTATACATAATATATATTATATGTATGAATATAAGCAGTCTCACACGTACACGCACACACACACACACACACACATGCTCTTTCACATATAATTGACTTGGTTTCAAAACTGTTTTATGTTTTTCAGTAAATTCTACTGTAAAATTTAGCGATTTCTTAAAATTTACATTTTGTTCATTTAAAAGATATTGAAAATATTTTATAATTGGGCAAGTATCATCTTTTTCCTTCATTATTATACTTTGTTTCATATCATTGAGGTTTTCTAACATTGATTTAATTTTAAAAAGCCTGAGTATATATTTTGATATTTTAAAACAAATATGACAACCCAGCAGCCATTTGTTAGAACCTACCGAATGCCTGGAATTATGCTGGGCTGGGTTTAGAGACATAGATATAAGCTGTCCCTAAATTTAAGATTTTCTGAAAGAATTTATTTAATATTCATTTGTATAATCGAAAAATATTTACTTATTTTGAAATGAATAACACTGATTTGAAATACAAGGCCCAATTCCTTGCTTTCCCTCTTGTTGCTTTTCCTCTTCGTAGTCTGCTGCAAAGTTGGGTCTTATTGGCTCTCTCCCCACTCCTCCACAGTCCTGGGCCTTGTACCTTAATAAGTGCTTTGTGGTCAAATCAGTTCATTTAAAAGTATGAAATTTTAGTCAGGCTATATTGGGTGCCTGGAAAGTTAGCTATATGAATACACTTTTCAGTGATGAAAGGGTCAAAGGGAACATCCTTGGTAATCTCCACCTCTCATCTGCCCAGCCTTTGTTTTGTAGATCATGCTTTTTAAGGCAGTGGCTGCTGTTGTTGTTTTGACCAACCCTTCCACATTATTCCCAATCCAGTCACCACAATCATCAAAGTAGTATTTGAAGGATTTGGAGGTTTTTGTTTTCATAACTCTTGGATTGCCTTTCTGATGATTGCCTCTCAGGACCTACATTTTTAATGTCTTACTGTTCTCCCAGGGGGGGAAAAATGCAAACGTGAAAAGTTCACTGAACACCCTTGGCTCAACTGCTTTCCTTTCTTAATTTAAAGCTTATATTGGTCTCCTAACTTTTGGACCGCTCTCAGAATTACTATGGCTTAAGCCAAAGGGTGTATTAAGCCCCAGTGGGGAACGCTGCAGACAGGACCTTTCTGCCTTGTGTGTGGGTAGCTGGGCAAGCTGCTACCCAGCTGCTGGGGCAGACCCTGATTTGTGATCACAAGTGCCATTGACTCAGGGCAGAAGGCTATTTATAATAGCACTTATCATTCTCTATTGGGGAAATTTAAGCCTTGATGATTTCAGACCATGTGGCTGATGCAATCCAGTCCATTTTCATTTGCAGCAGGCAGGGTGGTGACAGAGCAGCTCTGGAGACTCAAAAGTCAATGCATTTACCTAGAAAGATTTCTAGCTTCTGCTCTCTGGAAACTGGCAGGATGCTCAGGAAAATAGGCCCTCTGGCACAATTCCTATGGCTTTTGCAGCCAGTTAGAAACAATACTCTCAGTTTGCTTTAGGTTCAATTAGAAACCACAGCTTTCAAAAACTTTTCAAATGAAAATGTGTAAGAAAATATGCCTAGAAGTCCACTGAAGACCATAAAAGACCTGGTTGACTTGAGCCCAGCAAAATGGCATAGTTTGGACCTTAGAAAATCATGTAAGAAGACACGGTCTTCTCCTCTAGATGTTGCCATGGTCTTTCAGAGATACTTCATTGACACCTCTGTTTTTCTCAGCATTTTCCACAGGGAGAGAGAGTTTGATGTGGCTGAATATGACAATTTTTTTTTTTTGTAATTTCAAATCACCAAATTGCAAACTGGCCCTTTGACAGCCTAAGAACTCAGAATAATCCCAGAATCCCAGGGTCGGAGAACCTTTTTGGCCTGGATGATAGGAGTCTGGGCTTAGTTCAGCTATTGAGCCATAAGCTGAAGGTTTGAGGGACTGATGAGTAATCTTTATTTGCAAGCATTTTTGTTTTCTTCCTTACACATCTATTTTCATTTGAAAAGCATAAAACAAATGAAGAAATCAATTGAGAGGAGAATGAACTACTGGTGTGTAATGATTCTGGTGTCCTAGAGGAGGGGTAATATCCTATCGATATTTTCCAGGAAGGGAAGGAGCTTGTTTAGATGGAAAAAAGGGACAAAATTGTGCTATATTGCTTATGGAGTTTTTAATCTGCTATGAATTTGGAATAAAGTTTATTAGGAAGAATTAGAAGTACATGTTAATTTTTATCATTAGGATAAGCTGCATCTTTTAAAGATGAGTGATCCTTATACTTTGTGTAGAGACTTTCACTTGGTATAAATCTTAGGTTTGAAGCTGTGCCTGGTTAATGGTAACTAAAACTACCTCTTGCTATGTGGTGGTTTATATAGTAGTTCCCATCCCAATCACACATTTCGTTTGATAATAAATTCTGAGTCCAGTTGTCAGACCAGCTCTTGAAGACACAGTCAGAGAAGATTCCAGAAAGTAACCACTTGAGGAGTAGTATAGCAACCACTTACTACTTAGAACCAAAACCAGGGGCTAGATTTAGATACAATTAAACTTCACATTACCTTGACCTCACTGAACGCCCTCCCCCCCCCCAAACAACTCTCTCTCTCATTAGAACTTGGGTATAGGGTGTGTGTTCTATAAGCACCAGGCAAATCACTCTCATTTTCATTTACAGGTTCTAATTTTTTTTTCCTCATTGTTTTAGGAAGTTTGGGGCTCAGGGGTCACGACTTACTGGAGCAGGATGGGGAGGCTGCACGGTATCAATCGTACCTGCCGACAAGCTGCCCGGCTTCCTAGCAAATGTGCGTGAAGCTTATTACCAGAAGAGCAACCGAAGCCTAGCACCGGAGAAGCAGAGTTTGTTTGCTACCAAACCTGGAGGCGGGGCTTTGGTTTTCCTTGAGGCCTAAACAATGTAAAAAATCTCAGAGAAACTATTTAGGGCATTTAGGAACTGGCAGGACTTCTTATGCCACAGTAAATTAATCCTCTTTCTGTTTTGTATTATGATGAACGGTTGCTATTATCAAGATGTATTTCCAAAGAAATGGTTGAAAGCTCTCTATGCTTCATAATGATTATTTTTCCATCTTAAAATATGTTTTCTGCCAATAAGAGCCAAAATTATTGTTGGGCAGATCTCTTAAGAATGATTTGCTGGGATTTATTGATTTCAAGATTATTAAAGATGAATGGTAAAAGACACTCAATAATGACCTCCTGGATTGGACTTGAATTAAACATACTGTTACAATTAAACTGATACAGTTGAATGGTATGCAGTATTCTTAAAGACAGTTTATTTTGGTTTTTCTTAGTGTCCTTCTTCCTCAAAGTTATAGTCTTCTGTTGATGATGATGATGATGATGATGATGATGATGATAGTGATGCCAGAAATTCTTGCTCAATGTGAGCTTCACAACGCTATTAAAATAATACATTATTAAGTATTCATAGATTGTACACTTGAATGTTGAGATTCCCCCAATTATCAAGATGAGAGGAATTACTTAATTTTTTCTAAAAGATGGATTTAGGAAGAAAAGCCCAATCATTTAATTTTTTTAACCATGTGATAGCACATAAACAATCACTTTCAATTCTTTTGGCCCTCAGCTCTATCATAATAGAGAAACTTAGTTAAAAGTCACTGTAAGTCTTTATCTCTGTTCATAGTGAAATAGAGAATTATCTGGATGATAATTCAGATAATTAAATTTGTTCATAGAGTTGTCTTTCTCCCCACTCTATCTACCTTTTCTTAAATGCCTCTCTAATCCAAGAGGCATGCTTTTTGTTCTGGGAAATACCACCTTGCATCCCTTTATTGTGTGTTCAACAAGGTTTGTTTGTATATGTGGACCAGTGTAGGGCAGGTGTGCAGGTACATGGGTGAGAGTAGAAAAAGGCTGAGTTGGGTCAGGGTGTTGATGGGTGCCTGTATATGTTTCTCAAAAATAGGCAGAAATGTTTGGCCATGTGGTGATGGAAATGAATGGCTTTCTCTCATGGATAGATGACAGAAGGACCTTATGAATTATATGAAGATTTAGACCGAACAGCATGTTAGTGATGTCATCAGATAGATAGTTGAGATAGCAGTGGTCTTATGGCATGAATTATCCAAAAATTATCACAATTTTCTATTATTCTATGACAGATTTTGCTCATTAATGTACAACTCAAAGATTGGACATCATCATCTTGAATCTCAGTTTCATAGAGGCAGTAGTATTTCTCAAAGGACAACAGTCATACATAAAGTACTAGGAAACCCATTATTCTATTCTAAAACTTCTGGTGTACTTTCATTCTTAGCAGAAAGGTAAGCACTTGTGACAGCTTAGCTCAAATTTTTTGAAAGAATTTTGAGTTTTTAAAACTCAATAATACAGAATCTGAATTGATTTACAATTATAATCTTGTACTTTTTAATACCTTTCCATTTCCCACAAAAGGTCTGTGGTTGGTATATAATTCTTTAAAGATACCTGCATTACAGTTAAAAAAAAAATAGCACTTGCCATTGCTTTGCTATTGAAATTTTTTACCTTGAGTTTCCTTCCTTGCAACCGGTAAGTAAAAATTTCCAGTGTGCCCTCTGCTTTGTAGGACACAGGCATTCTAAGCCAGGGATTTACTCTGTATTTGTCTTAGTGTCTGGCTTGAAGAAAAGAACTAGTTTTCAATCAAACCATCACCATGTGTTATTCTAAAAACTATGAGAGAGATCAGACTCATTTGGAAAGGACAGGGCTAGGGCCACTGGAAAAAAGCTTCATACAGAAGATGGAATTTGAGCAGGGCCCTGAAGGATGAGTGGAATTGGAAGACAGGAAGTAGGCAGTGCAGATGAGCAAGACAGATAAGAAGGGGTACACATGGCGTGTTCAGAAGGTTCAGTGGGACTGAAGGGTTTGCCCTGGGATATAGCGGAGAATAACAGATGGGCAATACTGGCTAGAGCCAGCTTTTGAAGAGCTCCAAGTCCAGCATTTAGACCAGGGGTTGCAGATATATTTAGTTTGGCCTCCAAAAGCTTAGGGTCCTAATTATGAATTTTACGGAAGAATCCGGATTACTGACAGTAGAAGACCTGATAACACGTTGGCCTCCATTCCTGCAGGGTAACAATGAACTAGAGCTGAGGAAGTAGTTGCCTGGTTTACATGAAGCAGGGACTCGCCCGATTGCTACAGTTTTCACAACGCATTGTAGTGTCCCTGATACTCAGGCCATTTATCATTTACTAGCTGATGTCAACCTGTGCAATTGTTTTCTTATACTAAATAAATATTTCACTGTATCATGTCTTTAGCAGTAGTACTTAAGAGAGACCAAGAAAAATGGGTGAAAGAATTTTGTGTGTGTGTGTGCAAGTAGAATAGTCTTATTTGTTTAATATTAAACACCCAGGTAGTTTATTCCTGTCTATCACATCTTTTTTGGCTCATATAGGGATTCAATTAGATTATTTGACCCCTGTCAAATTACACCAGTAGCCAATGAGGATTGCTCTAGATTTTTGAGTGGAAACCTGACATGCTGAAAATCAAAGGCTCTCCTATTCCTCAGATTGTCCAGCCTTCGGGTTTAGTGTACACTAATCTCTACATGTTCTTGCCTGTAGGAAGGAAAGAAAGCTCTTCAGATTTAAAGGACTGCCCATAGGCAGAAGAGGAAGGGACAAAGAAAACTGGAAAGATGGAGCAGTCTCCTTCCTTTTCTTTCTTTCTTACTCTTGAGCCCTGTTTAGACCTTTGTCATTTCTGTCTTATGTTTCCATGAATTGAAGGCAGGGACCATTCATTTAACATAGTAGTTGGAATCCAATATATTTTTGTTGAATTATTGATGGAAAGTAAAATATGACTTCCAACACCAATAATTTTTGGTTACTTTGAAATTCTGACTGCATTTGCAGGTTTTCAGTTGCATAAACTGGTGAGAAGCAAGGGATGGGGATAGTGGACATGGGCTTGTCCCAAATATGTAAAGCAGAGATTATCCTAAATGTGCATATGGATGATTAAGTAACAAGAATGCATCCTATTCTGCCGCTGTAACTTGGATGTGAAACCATATATTATTTGTTAAATATTGTCCAGTCTATATAAGAGAAGCTAGAGAGAGAATTCTCAATTATTTTCAAAAAAGAAACATACCAGGTTATGTAGGAACTTCTGAAAGTCATCCTCAGCTTCGTAAGGTTTCAAGGTAGCCTTTGCTTGGAGTCTATCATGGAATAAAGAATATCATTAACAAAGCTATTTTTATACTGACACCAACTACGAGCCAACATTTACGAAGAGTTTAATGTGCTAGGTGCTAGTAAGTACTTTATAACTATTAATTCAATTACACTTACAACAATCGTATGAAGTAGACACTACTATTATAAATGAGGAAACAGGCTCAGATAAGTTAAGAAACCTGCCCACTGCCATACAGCTAACAATGAGCAGGGTTTGTGACTCGAGCCCTCAGTTCCAGCCACCGTGTGACACTGCATCCCAGCAGTGAAGCGTCCCCTTCAGAGAGGTGGTTCACACAGCATTCCCTTCACTGATTCTGCTCACCAGGCTCCAGCGCAGACTTTTAAGATGTGTCAGTGGGGAGAGAAGAGTAAAAGGGACTGGCAAGAGAAAGATCTGGGGCAGAAAGAGAGATGGAAAAGGCTAACAGTGTGGACACTCACTACAATGTAAACTCATCCGGGTATCTATCATGATTTCTGTCACCAAGTAGCAGTCAGAAGTATTTATGAAGGAGATGAATAGTGGAATTCAGGAGACAACAGGAAACTTCTAGAGATCTATGGATAAGGGAAGAGGCAGAGGCAACTTAGGCAAGGAAGGATAGGAACTTGGGACAAAGGAGAAACAAGATTAGCATGAGAAACATAGATGAGAGAAAGAAATGAAAAAGGGCCATTTTCAAGTGAAACATTTAAAAATTATGTTTCTTCTATGAAAGAAAGCAAAAATTTCAAAAAAAAAATTGTAGGAAGCAAAAATTTCTGAGAATTCCAAACATACTTTGCTGAAGCATAACATTTGGGTTGGCCAAGCCCCTGCAAGGCCTTCTCTAGGTTTCTTTACATTTAGTCTAGGGTACCCCTGAGGGCACAGTGGGGCTTCTTCTTAGGGGTGTCTTGCTTTATTGTTTTCAGGGGACTGACAAATGTCCCCTCGTTCATTCTCTACTTTATTTCTGCCAGTTTTATCTCCACCTGGATTTTCTCCTCACTTTTTGTCACTTTGAGGGACGGTCCTTCCCTGCTTTTCTCAAATCTGCTGTTACAGTCTGGGTCTCTTCCTCTTAGTCCTATTTCCACACACCCCAAAATATCCCTTGTGCCCCTTTAGTAACACCGTCTTAGAGTCCTCTTGGCTTGCAAGTCATCCTGGGCCTGGTTCATCTCACTTAGTTAAAAATCAACCCATCTCCCAACTCACTCTTCTAATTTAGAGTCCCCCTCTTTCTTTTTAAAAACTAACATCTTTATTATGTCACATACCATCAAATTCACCCTGGTAAAGTGTACCATTCAGTGGTTTTCAGTACAGTTTACTTTGAACAACACAGGTTTGAGCTGCGCAGGTCCACTTATATGTGGATTTTTTTTCAGTAAATACCTGTACTGTTTTTGATCTGCAACTGGAAGTCCATGGATGCAGAGGGCCAAATGTATCCACGCCATTTTATACAGGAGACTTGAGCGTCCTCAGATTTTGGTATCCACAGTGGTCCTAGAACCAATCCCCTCAGGATACTGAGGGACAACTTAAGTTTTGGGGACTCAAAAGTTATATGTGGATTTCTGATTGCGTCGGGGGTCAGTGCCCCTAACTCCTACATTGTTCAAAGGTCAACTGTATATTCACAGTTCTGCCACCATCACCACGACCTAATCCCCCATCTTTCTGGTTGCCTTTCCCCTCCATGAGTATCTCATTTTCAAAGATTACAGACAGAAACTTACATGCCGTGCCTACAAATTTAACAGGCACATGGGATTTATATATCCAAGTGAGTATTTTCCCCTTCACTTTCTCCAACAATGTGTCATTGCATAAAATGTATTTGAGTGCTTCTTGCAAGTCGATCTCCAAACCATTCTACATTCTTCTGCATATGCTCAGTGGTGTGAAATCCTGTCCTATGTAGATTTGATTTTTGGGGACTTCTAAAAGTCACCTGGAGTCAAATCTTATATAATTTTGGGGTTGCAAAGGGGAAAGCTGGTGTTAAGGTTTTTGGTGAAAAGTGACATAAGATTCTAAAGTAATGCATTGGGTTTCCTCATGGGACTGGGAGACTAGCTTTATAAGTTCCAGAATAGTAATGAGAGGTATGGCGGTGTGACTGACAGAGCTGTGGTCTCCTCCAGGGGCTTGTCTGAAGGGCTACACTCATCTGCTACTTATTCTTGTGCATGTGGGTGTGTTGGAAGAAGTGGGCTAGTCTCAATACTTTACAGTTTTCCTTTTAAAACTCCAATTTCTAAAATAAATAAGTGAACCCAATTTTCCTTGCTTCAGTGGGGGACAATGTTGGTATGTATAGGGGAAACAGCTGGGGCTGAAAGGGGACAGAGAACCAGCCAACAGACACCAGCTAAATACGTTGTTTTTCTAGTTTATATCTTCCATCAGGGCAGGGCAAGGTTTCATGGGTTCGGTTTTTTAAAAGCCTTGAGCTTAAGTCCTATGTCTGGTGGAGTAAAAGGAGATGATGATAATGTTTAGCAAGTAATTAAATTAGCAGAGTAGGTGATTATGTGGGTAAAGAAAGTTAAAGTGTTACTCCAGATGCACAGTTGAGTAGAAAACCTCTTTGCAGATATTTGAGTTGATGTATTTTTACATAATAAAACCATTGTGGTTTTATGTAACACATTTGTTCAATTAAAATGTTTTTAAGCACTACAAAGTTGAATAAAAAACAAACCTATCAAGTTCCTTGTCAATTCTTTCCTGCCGCTGTCTCAGGAGTTTTATTTCTTCATTAATTCTGAGCTTTTCTCTATAAAATCAAAGCTTGGAGTTAAAAATTAAAAGAAAGCAAGCATTTCTAACTGGGAAACAATAAAGCAACAATTTGTTGACTTCCTCCTGTCAGTGAAAGCCCTTTACAAACCAGTTCTTCAGTCCTCCCAATGCACAGTCCTTGGTGCGAGGAATTCCCCAGCGCATCCATCCTCCTTGTAAACGTGCCCAAGGCATCACTGTGGCACCTGAGTGTGGCCTGGACGCCACCTTGCTGCTTCCACAGCGGCCATCCTATTCTTCCGACTGAGCGTAGGAAATCTAAGAGGGTGTGAGTGTGTGTGTGTGGGGGGCGTATGGGGACCGTGGGAAGTTGAGGCTCAGACTTTTGCTCTGCCTGCTGGATAGATAGGACCTAGCCGGCTGTTCTTCTGCTTACCTGTCTTTGATGTTTCCTGAACAGCCTTCAGACACCCAAAGGGGAGGATGCCCATCCTTTCTCCCATTTAAGGCAATAAAACCTCTAGGCAGTGACTTTGATATCATAGGCAGAAGAATTGAACCCTGCCAATTCACTTTTATAAAAATTGATGGACAGCCTCTCATTAAGCCATTTGTAGCTTCCTGGCACATAAGAATACCATGACTAGCCATGAGTAATCATTTAAATTATGTACAAGAAACTGACAATGTTTCCCCAAGGAAACATTACACAAAAGACCTCTCTGCTTTGTTTTCCTCAACACCACCCCAGCTGCCATCCCAGCTTCAGGGTAGCTCCTTCTACTGAAAACAACCTTCCAGGGCTCATCTTTTTAAATCAGTGGTTCTCAACCTGTGGGTCGGCGACCCCTTTGAGGTTCGAATGACCCTTTCACAGGGGTCGCCTAAGACCATCGGGAAACCAAAAGATATTTACGATTCATAACAGTAGCAAAATTACAGTTATAGAGTAGCAACGAGAATAAGTTTATGGTTGGGGGTCACCACAACATGAGGAACTGTATTAAGGGGTTGCGGCATTAGGAAGGTTGAGAACCGCTGCCTAAATGGACAATAAATAATCCAATCTCTAGTCCTTGGAGCTCTCTCCTGGCCTTTCGATGTTGGGGTGCATCCCCCAATCACACCACAGCGAGGCTTCCATCCTTCCTTCAAGCCCTGACACTTGCCATGTCCCCATGGTTACCACATACATCCTTAACACTTACCTGAAAACAATCTCCAAGTTCTAAGATGCACAGAGGTATCTCCTCATCTCTCCTCATCAGTCAAATAAAGAGACATAGTGATTTCTAAGATCATTTCCAGCTTTAAAAGAGTCTATGATTTTATATTTAACAATAGTATGGCGTCAACTTACATCCTAAAATCCTTTTGGTTCCTTGCAAATTGTCTTTTTGCCTCCTTTATAATATCACGATAAGTTGGAGCAGGTGGTGTGATAGGCTTATGGTTAAGGAAAGATTTCCAATTAAGAACATTTGGGAGAGAGGTAAACAGTATCCTTGACAGGGGGACCGAGGGAGTTCTGGCCTGGGTTTCCCAGTGTTGAAAGGTCTCAAGTGTAAACATGACTATTATGTCTGGTGTTATACTGAGAGGACTGAAAGAAGACAATACTCAGCAGACCACTATAAACTTGCATCCCATCATCTGGACCACACCATCCATAGCACACTAGGGCTTAATAGTTTCATAAATCCTATAATTACCATTAAAATTTTTTTTGGTGTGCTTTAAAAGTAGCAATTTGTTAAATACAGATATTAAAAATGTACCACAATTTTTGTAATCTTGTTCAGACATTTCTACATAGACTGAGAACCTCAAAGTCTTCCTGACCTCTGAGAGGCTCTGGAGGTGACAGGCAGCACGTGTTGGCTGCCCCTGTTAGCTCGGGCTCTGCTTTCTGCACAAAGAAAGATGGTAAGCAGATGGTGGAAGTGTGCTGTTAATGAGGCTGGGGCTCTTGTCCTGTCTGTTTCTGGTACAGCCTGTGGTTGCGTCCCTAACCCTGGTCTTAACCCATGTCTGTGTCTGGAAAAGCAGACACTTCCCTTCTGAAGCAGCAATTGGCAAATGACTGAAGGAGGCATTGGTTAAGCAAGACCTTAGCCTCACTGATAAACTCGGAGCTCTAACCCCTCTGCAGTCACCAAGACACGGGATGGGAGGGCCCTCTGCAGCCCCACTCCCCATCATGAACCACACTTCAGTGTTACCCTCTGTCTTTCTCAGAATGCAATTTGCTCATTTTAAAAACATTTATGTTCTATTTCAAGGCTGTCCTTGATGCTCATTTTAATCTCATTTTCCTGGTATAAGAATGTTAGAAGTCCAGTGGATTTTTTTTCATGAATTCTGATCACACTGTACACCTTTCCTTGTCTTCAGGGATGTTCTAAACGACATGACTGGAATAAGTGCACATATGAACTACAGTTTTTCCTCTTGATACGAATCAAGTTCAAATGGTAAAATTTCAAAATAAAACTTCCTTAGCCTGGATCCATGTTACTTTCAAACTTTAGCTTTGGGATTTCATTTTGCATATGTAATATATTTGACTAGTCAATGAATAACAACATTAAGCACTGCCTCATTTTAAATAATTAAAGCAGAGAAAAACTGAACCTTACAAAAATCTACTCATTTTTAAGCAAGATTTAAAAAATATCATTATACAAAGAATATTTTAGCAGCATTAATTTAACCAAAAGAAAAAAATTCTCCCATAATCTCACTTTCCAAAAAATATAAAACCATTTTAAATTTTCTATGTGTCTTTCCATCTGTCATATGCAAATATATATTTTACCTTATTGTTGTAATGGTGTGGATGCTTTCTTTACCCAACATAGTATCATAATTCCCCCATGCATCTAGGTTTTGTAGTAATGATTTTAATGTTTTCAAAAAATTTCATTGGGTATACAAAACAGATGGGCTGTATTGCCATGATTATTACTAACATGGTGCAAACATTGCTGGGTCTTCTTATATGAAATCGCCAATTTCTCCTCTTTTCTTCAATTGTGTGTTCCAATAGTACATTTCCCCCCAACAAAAGTCTAGCAAGGGAGGCCTGTATCTCTCCTAACTTAGGTTCCTCTGAATTTGGGGAAAAGATAGGTCTTGCTTAGTTTGGGACTGGAATAACATCCATGGTCAAAAAGAGGCAGTGGTCCTGTTTATTCCATTAGCAAGAAGCCTGCAATCTCAGTTATGCCTGCTTTCCATCTTTAGTTTTTCCCCCTGCCTGTCACAGACTGTGAAGAAGTGAAGCAGCATTAGGAGAAGGCTCAGCAATCTTCCTGAAACAAGTGATACCTGAAGATGTCAGACTACTTTTAATGCCTGCCTTACTCCCCCTGCTGCATAAAGTGACTGAAAGTCTAAGAATTCCTGTGAGTGAAAGTCACGAAAAATTGAATATCATTCTTCTTATAGAATGATTAGCACAAACAATGATATACCTTTCCTAGAGTGTAGATGGTCTTGAGCTGCTGAGATTTAATTTGCATGCATCTTTTTCCTGTTAATACTTAATTTCTCCCTCAAATGTCAGAATTTCAAAGACTTTTAACCCTTCTACAAAGTTATATTGTGCTCTTGAGTATGGCTTCCCTAACAGAGGATGGCTGCCACCTGTACTGGACCTGGGGTAGCTCTGCAAAAAGTCAGGACACCCTGAGGCCTGCTGCCACTTCTCAGATCCCTTAAAGTTCAGCTGCTGATAAAGCCTTGTGTGGTATGTGAGTTGGGTGAGGCAGGGTTTTGGGGAGTCACTAGAGTAGGAAGAGTTGTGGTCACCAGTTTAATGTAAATTCTGGTTTGGTGCTAGTGCTGAGCTTGGAGTTACTCAGAAAATGTCTCAGAGCACACCGGGGCCAGTTGGCACCCACCTGGCACCTGTGCACTCTGATAGTTTTCCAAGAAAGAGTGCAATGTGGGCAGGGCTGCTCATGGAGAAAGTGCCTCTGGCATTGGGGGAGTTGGGTGTGGTGGAGTCCCAGTGAGTCAGGAGAATGGAGCAGCAATTCTGATCAATCAGATTCAGATTTGGCTGTAAGCTTAGGGGGCGGGCTCAACACGTTAATGATGGCGGCTGCCTGCCAGCTGCATGGGAGAAGGACTCTACACAGGGAAAATGCCGACCATCCCTGCCCTTGAAACCATACACTTCAGTCTCATCCCCATATGCCTCTGATGCCCAGCGGGTCACCGTCCCTCTGCTGGACCCCAAGGTTAGTAGCTGCGAGCGAGTAGTCTGTGTGCTGGCTGTTTAAGAGGATGTCTGGGTTTCCCACAGCCTTCCATCCCACCTGGATGGTTGGAATCCCCACTGTTTTTTACAGCTAGCTTTTTTTTGGGGGGGGGGAATCCAGGGGGGAGCTCCTCTTCCTGGCACCAGTATTCTGGGGTGGGGAGCTAGACATGGGGCTGGGGTCCTTCACTCCTCCAAGAAGAACATCAGTGGCTGAAGTATCCCTCCCAGTTTTCATCTGCCCACTACATGGGGGTTTGGCACCAGCCTGTTTCACTTCTCCACTCCTCCTACCAGTCTCAATGTACCTTCTTCTTTATATCCTTAGTTATAAAACTTCTGTTCGGCCAAACTTCAGGTGGTGCTCCAGGTTGATTATTCTATAATTGAGTTGCAATTTTAATGTGTTCACAGAAGGAAGCAGGCACGGTGTTTATCTATTCAGCCATCTTGGTTCTCCCAGCTTCTGAATTCTTTTTTTGATCATTTTCCTTCACACATTTCAGGAAGTTATCTTGGCTCTTAGAGTGCTTAATATGCTCAATGTGTACATTAATTCTCTTGGTAAGACTCCTGCCCTTGTTTGTTTACAACAATGCCAACTGCATGCTGGGCAACACTGTAGTCTTTCACTTTTGCCATGGTAACATTTGTGGGGCATTCCCTTGATGTCTACAATATCACCTTTCTTGTAGATTCGCATGTATGTCGCCAAAGGAACAACTCCATGTTTTCTAAAAGGTCTAGAGAACATATAGCAGCTGTCTCTCCTCTTTCCCTTTGTGTTGGTCATTTTGTCAAATTAGTAGAAGATGGCTATTCTGGCTGAAATGGAGGGTATACATTCTTTATCAAGTCTTTCTCATTGTCCACAAAACTTGGTCACAGTTGTACATTTGTGTTGTGTAATGAGGTTCTGAGCTGTATGATGTTGGTGTTGACTAAGACCTCAGCACTTTTTTGCAATATTTAATGGTGATGGTTTCCAGTAGACTTTTGTTAATTAATGTTTGTTAATGAATATCCTAATTTTTGTTGTCTTCAAATACTTAAAGTCATCAATTTCCCCCAACTGTAGAAAAATAGAGTACTCAAAGCTTATAAATTATGATGAATGGCTGTATTCTACTTCTTGGGGATGACTGTGACAACATGTTTTCCAATACCACTGTTTGAATTGACCTCACACTTATTTTCTCATGCACTGCTACATGGAGATTACATGGCAAGATATGCAATGGGTAATGAGCCATTCTGGTACAAATAAAATGGTCCTGTTCTGAGACTTCCCAACAGTGAAGTTGGGATGTGACAGTTGTGGTTGGGATGTGACAAATCAAGAATTGGAGACATCCCAGAGGCCTCAAATCAGACTCTAGGGTCTTTAATCTCCCTTTAGCATCACAGAGTACTAGAAACAAGGAGCCTCAGAAATCATAGGGTCCAACTTGATTATGTTATAGATGAAGAAACTGAGGCGTCTAGGAGGGAGGTACTATGTCTTTGAGAGCTTGGGTGTATGTGAGAGTCAGGAAGAGAATAGCCCAGATGCAAATTTTGCTCCTATCTGCCAAAAGTATTTCCCAGAATGAAGCTGCAGGAGGCTTTGCTATCTACCTAATATCCCTTAGAGATATTCCGTGGAGTATCCTCAGAGTTGCTCACGAGATTATCAGGTGAAGGCTAAAGTACCCACTCTACACATAATGCTATTGTATAAGGCAGCAAGCAGTGGCTAGAATCTTCTCCTTTATATACCATAATTAATTTAATTCTTAATCTTAAAAACTAAATTTTTGGAATAACTTACAACATGTAGCCCAAACTAATATTAGAGAAGTTATATTCTGCATGTTGTTTAGCTTTGTTTATACTTCAAATAGTTTGATGTTAGATTTGCAAGAGTGTCAAACATCCACAACATAGCCACATATTAAGAAACTAAAAAAAAAATAGTTATTACTCAGTACATGCACTTTATTCTCTGAGAGACAGTACCACTGTTAGAATCTCACCCAGATTCTATATGGCCTGGTATTATATGTAAAATAAGGTTGCTGTTTTAGTAAATTTCATTAACATATCATTGGCAGTTTTGTAGCATAGTCTAGAAAACTGAGAAAACAGGGCTACTAAAACTATTAACACAGATTTAACTAAAAGCATTCAGC